GCTTACGCAAGAAGCATCAAAAAGGAAATGGAAGAATACGCAAGGCGCACCAAAGAACATTGGAGACGTTTTTTAAAGGCATTGAGAGGCGTCTGGGGGTGACGTATGATGCCGAAAGAGTTCTGCAGCCTACCACCTCTAGCCAACAGAGTGTGCCCTTTGTTTCATTCTCGGAAGCTTCGCAGTTCAATCTGCACGGGTACACGGTGGATGATATCATGAAAGACCCACGGTTCCGTCTTCAACTTGCCTTGATGGAGGCGGGATTACACCAGACACCATACGGGAGAGAAGTGATCTCTAGAGGCTATCATGTGCCTGCAGCCCAGCGACCGAGCGAAGAAAATCCACTACGCATGGAGTATTAGGGAGGAAGGATGCCCGTCTACATTTATGCAATAAAAGCCATTTGAATATTTCTAGTTTGATTTCAAGTGTGTGCGAGCGTTTTTTTTTTTTTTTTTTTGGTGTGCAGTTTGCGTTTTGCCTTTTATTTGTTTGTTTTTTTTCCGCGGCCACCACTTTTTTTTTTCTTTTATTATTATTACTATTACGCGTACATGAAAAGGGGGTTAATGATGAGTAGTCGACTGAACAATCTTGAGAGCGTGGAGGGCTTCTCGTCGCTTCTTTATGGAGGAGATAAGGCTGCGCTGCAGCTTCTCACGGAGATTGGCTGGAGTGGCATGGCCGCCGCGATGGGCCTGTCGTTGATGCAAAAGGTGCTGCAGGAATCCACATCGGCATACGCCATATTTTTTGTTTCCCAAACGCTGCGGCAGTTGGTAGAGTCCAAATTTGGCACGGCCGACCTCGTGTCCCTTGAATCATTTTTGAGCTGGTTAATTGTGCAGCGACACAACTCGCTAAATGCCTCCAGTGTGGATGTATTGATTCGTCTTTTATGTGCTGTGGTGAAGCAGGGCTTTTGTGATGCCCCGGAGCTGCAAAGTTTCCCTCACCGGGTGACAGCTGCGTTGAAGCTGGAGGAATCCAACTGCTCGGACGGGCACATTGCACTCTCGTGTGCGATCCTTGTCGCCTTTATTGAAGAAGCGGAAAGAGCAGAGGGAACGGTACGCAGTCTTATCAACCACAAGCGAATGATCAAATGCCTCCGCAATGCGTGTCTTCTCCCCATATTTCGAGCCGCTTCGCAATGCCTGAAGCGGCTCCAGCAGACGGACGGAAAGGCCATTTGCGGTTTAGTAGCACTAGTGAAGCGCATTCTCTTGTTTGATTTTACGTGTTCATGCGATGAGGCGGCAGATGATGTCATGACATGTGAGTTTCCTCTGGAATGGGCCGCGGACCTTGTTGATCAGGGCCTGCTTGTGAAGCTGTTTGATTTGTACGCTACACCAGTGACGGACCCGAGTTTTCTGTGTGACGTGTTGGAGGCCATCACACCCCTTGTGTCGGTAAATGCGTCCCTCTACTCCTCTCGACAACAGCAGGCGGAGTGGATGAATAAGATTCTTTCTGCCACATTGTCTATTATGGAGTCGCGCTCTCACTTGGAAGAGGCCACGGTTCTGCGGGAATTCTGCCGCCTACTGAATCGCATTAAACCAAATTTTACGATTGATGAAATGCGGAGGGCTCCCTGTTACCAGCGGTGGGTTCGAGCTGTCGCTGAGTTCACGAAGTTATGCTTTCAAAACTGGCATCACGCACGACAGTCATTTCTTTCTCTGACGTCTATTTGGGCCAAACTGGTAGGCTCTCAATCATACTGCAAGGACGGGTGTACATTATTTGAGCTGCTCGCACCGGATGTGTGCCTCTCGTACATGATGTCACACCAAGAGCAGGCGGTGCGGTTTGCTACGAGTGGAGAGGCATCTTTATTTGGGGAATACATTTTAGATGAGGACGCGGAGACGAGTTCACTGGAGTTTGAATTTGTATCTCAAATTCTGCGTTTCTGTGGGGAGGAGGCGGAAAAGTACATTGTCAAGGAAATATCTTCTTTGCTGGAGGCGCTGAAAATACCTGAAGTCCGGTCATCACCGGAGTTGTTTTGTGTGTGTGAACGCCTGGCGTTTATCATCACCCTCGCCAGTTCATGGCTGGGTTCGTACCGCTTCAGCCGCAATGGACGTGCTTTGGATTCCACTGTGCTGCTTGCTTGCTTGAATGTTGTCAGACAAAGCTCTCAGATGAATTTTTCCCGTTCCCTGCCCTCTGCAACGAGCCGTCACTTCCACAGATCTCTTTTAGCGTTTCTGCGTTTTGCGTGGCATATAACTCTTTTGAATAGGATGGATGGGTCAAAAAAACTGCAGGAGTCGTTGCAGCTTTCACTCGCCGCGAAGGATTTCGGCACACTTGCTACTTTTATTTTGGGACTGGTGGTGGACGAAGTGTTGGATTGCGTATCTTCTTGCAGCGAACAGACCGTGTTTGAAGCCATACACCTGTTGAGTGAGATGGCCCAATCACCCTCCACGGCGGTGGTGTTGAGGAAACTGCCTCAATTTGATGGCACTCGACTTGTGTTGGATGCGAGCAACGTGAAGACATCGAGGAACGCTGCCGTGTTCTACAGAGTAGACTACCACCTGTCACGTATCCGGGCACAAGTTCATTTTCTTGGGTGTAATTCAGAGTCTTCGAGGGCAGATTTTTTGCGACCCTTGTTTGAGGAGCTTGAGATGTGCCTGAGAAGAGGGATGGCAGTTGCCGATGGCCAGTTGGATTTCTTCACTCGAGTCATTTGTTTGTGGCGGGGCGTATTTCGCTCGTGTGTTGGCCAAAATGAATACAATATGCTCTTAAGACGTTTTTTTCCCTGCCTTTTTCTCCTGACGCAGCAGCTTCAGAACCATCTGGGGACGGTGTGCGGCGTGCAGCTGCTTCGCTTGATCAATGAAATTACTGAAAACCGTTATCGTCGCATCAACTTTGGTGCCAACGGTGTGGAGGGATATCATCTTTTCCGTGAAGTCAGTAGGTCTTTGGAGATGGCAGTTCATTTGGTACGAAGGGCATTGGGATCCGGTGAGTTGTGTCTCGGGGAGTGGGGGTTGAAGTGCCTGAGGATATTGATTCATACGGGATGTAATATTCTGTCGGGGGGTTACTGTAACTTGGGGGTACTGCGCCTCTACGAGGACAAGGCATTGAAAACCTGCTTGACCGTCCTATGGCAGGCCATGATGTTAGTGGACCGTCACCGTTTCTGCCAATATGAGAAACTTGCAAAGGCCTATCTCATGCTCGCAGGCGAACTCCTACGGGACTTGCATTTGTGGTTTCTCTGCGAGGTACCCGTCGGGGAACTTCTCCACGTCATTCATATGTTGGAAATTTCTCTGGGCTATTACATCTCCGGTTCCGCGTCACTTGCATCGCAAAGCGCGGACGCGCTCGGTATATTCACAGGCGTGTTGTGCTGTGCGGAGTGTGACTCTGTGGAGCACCGGGACCGCGTTTGTGGCTCCCTGCTTCACACCGATCCGAGTCTCTTCTCACGCCTTTTACGGTTGACGTTGGATGTCGTCTTGTCACGGAAATGCCCATCGTCGAAGGCGGAGGTTCTTCTCCGATCGCTTATTGCCCTGGACGGGGAGTCGTTTCGGCGGTTAGCGGGGGAATTTGCGGAAATTGCCTTGTCGGCCGGCAAGGATGCGGAGGTGAGGGCGGCATTTGAGCTATTGGGCTCGAGTGCGTGTGAGTCCGTTCGCAAAAACAACCGCAGCCTGTTCACAAAAGAGTTTCAGCACTTTTCAACGCTTGTGACCGGCTGCCTTGGTTGATTATTATTTTTTTTCCCCATCAATTCCATTATTCGCACTTCTCTGTGTTGTATCACCCCGTTTCTGCTTTTTGTTGTTAATCTTCCTCTTTATAGTGAAGTTGTTGGTGTTGTTTGCGAGGATGCGTCACAATACCCGTGGGGAATTTTTATATAAACATGTGTATATTATTTACCGCTGCTTCTGGTGGTGATTCCGCCTCTTTTTACCCTTTTCTTTTATTATTATTACTATTATTATTATTATTATTATTATTATTATTTGCTTTCTCCGCCCCTTTTTTCCCTCTCTCCACGGAAAGGAAGGGAACACGAAGGGAACGACGCATGAAGCACGTGGTGGGCGGGGTGTTGCGAATGCAGCGCTGCGTCGCGTCACTCGCAGGAACGGCATTTTTTGGCCACTTACGGGGCCCATCACAAACCCTCGCGCTCGGTTGCAGCTCCCGTGCGTACATGATGTCGGCCACCCCGTGCTGCCTCGGGAGACGAATCAAAGGCAAACGCTCACGGCACCGCGAGCCCGCCGAAGGCGACTGGTTGTGTCAGTGCGGCGAACTGAATTACAAGTCAAAGCGAGAGTGCTTCAAATGTGGCGCTCCCGCACCTCCGCTTCCGCCCGGTGTTCGGCGGCCATCGCTGCCCGGAGAAGACCCCCACGACTGGGCGTGTCCCTGCGGCCAGATGAACTTTAGGGGAAGTGTTGTGTGTCATAAGTGCCTGCAACCCAAACCGGCGCCCCCGCCACTCCCCGGAAAGGAGGTGACGCTGTGGACGTGCCCCAAGTGCAAGGGAGTCAACAGAAGCATTAGAAATTACTGCTTCAAATGCTCCGCACCGTCCCCATTACTCACATTTAAACCCGTCGTGTAGAGATTGGATTGCGCAGCTGTGGAATTTGGTATGATACATTCACTTTTTTTTCCTTTTACCCCGCCAAGGAGGTGAGAACAAGAAGGGCGCCTGAAGCTGTTCTCATGCTGGCAGTATTATTTGAAGGGGTAAATATGAATGCTTTCACTTAATTTCTGTTATTTTTTTTTATTTTTATTTTTTTTTTTTTGCTTTTTGCTTTTTGTACTAGCTTCTACCTTGTTTGCATTTCCATAGCGATAAAGAAACAGCAGGCCAAGATGAATTCTGCGGCGCAAAATGCTCCCGCCATTTCACCCACCGCGACAATGTCCACAGGACCGCTGGATACAACATCGAAGAAACGACTTTTTATGATGCAGCGGGCGGAACGGCTTCGGGACCCAAAGGTGCGGCACATGGGCATTGACAAGGAAGCTCTTGATGATCAGGTGCGTGAAAAAGAGGCCCTACGGCGTCTTGAGAAGGAACGAAATGAATTCTTTGACCGACAGGCATTGCTGATGGACCGACATGCGCAGGCATTACAGAAGGAGGTGAATGAAATTCGGGCAGGGCGTGAAAAGGAACTACAAGACTACCGTGAGACATTCCAGAAGAAACACATGCGTCGAGAGTGGGATCTCAACGACCCCACTTGGAAGGTGAAGGATTTGCCTGCCCGTGTGGGCGACGATGATCCCCGCAACGGTGTCTCATCCCTGCAGAAGTTTGAGGGGGAAGATTTGGACTTTAAAAATCGTCGCCGGGAGCAGCAACTTCAGCAGCGGGATTGGGCTCAGCAGCAAGTAGAGGAAAAACTCGCCAAGAAGTGGATGGAGCAGGAGGCAAATCATGCGTTTGATGAGCGGAATGAGGAGGTTAACCGCCGCATCTATGAAGTGGAGCGAAATATTGCTGAACAGCGCCGGTTATCCCATAAGAATCAGGCCGAATTCAACAAGGCGTTGGCAGAACAGAAGCGTCGCGAGGCCATCCGTGACAAGGAGGAGGATACACGCAAGGGCCTGGAGGAGATTCGGTACCACCTCGAGGGAGACTTCCTTAACGAAACCGAAACCATGGTGGGTGAGCTTGGCAAAAAGGTGAAGTCCGATCGCTACAAGGGAATGACGGCGGAGCAGAAGGAGCAGTTGTACAAGGACCAGGCCTTACAGCGGGATGCCATGCGGCGTCGGCGGCTGCTGGAGGTGGAGGAGGAGAAGCACTGGGGACAGCAAGAGAACCTTCAGCTGCGCATGGCGAACGCCCTGGAGAGACAGAGGGAGCGTGAACGCCGTGCTGAACGTGAGGCTGTTGCCGCTGAGCAGAAGAAGCAGAAGGAGGCAGCCGAAATTCGTCGGAAAAAACTAGATGAGCTTTACACTAACGCTGTGGATGAGGACTACTACAAGTACTGGGACCTCTGCATGTAGACCATACCCAACACACACAAACAGAGAGAGTGAGAGTGAGAGAAATAGTAGAAATCAAAATAAACCACGAACGACAACAAACCGGGGTGGAAAAATAAAAGAAGAAGGGAAATAAGCGTAATAGATATGTCAATTAAGATAGAAATATCTTGTTTTGCCGCTAGGCACACCAGTCGCCTGTAATTTGAGTCGTATACATATATTTCTCTCTGTGTGTTGTTTCTTGTTGGTGTGTGTATGTATTTGAGTGTGTGTTTGTTTTTCTTGTTCCAATGTATATGTTTGTTTGTTTGTTTTTTGCCTCATCTTTTTTTTTTCTTTGAAATTTTTATTCTCCCTTTGAGCCATGTACTCATCTGCCGTGCATCCGGCGGTCAAATTTGATTTTATGCTTCTGTTGTAGTGGTGGTGGTGGCTGTTTTTATTGGGTGCATGCTTCTGGTATTTTTTTTTTTCCCCTTCCCCATCTTTTTTTTTTTTTTTGAATTTTGGCTTTTGAGGTGTCGTGCCTTTTTTATGGCTTTGCGCAAAGAAGATACACGTAGCACGCAGGATGATTCTTGGTGTCGGTGACGGTACGTTTGCCATTCTTTTTGTTACTGTAATTGGAATTATTGTAACGCTTATTGGATCATATGTACAGCCGCGTTTGGCGCTGCCCATCGGCCTGGTCTGCTTTCTGTTGCCGTTTCTTCTCTACGCGTGTATCCTCTCCGCCCCGCACGGCCGCCTGCTCCCACCGCTGCCTGACACACCGTACAATAGAGAGCGACGGCTCCCGCCGGATGCAGTTGTGGTGGATCACCTTCTCCCTGTTCGCATTGGGGTGATGATCCTTCTCTTTCTTGCGTTCTTTGCAGCGGTGGGGTACCATGTACTTCTTGTCATCTGGGAGCCGCCGTATAAGGCGCCGAGGGTGCGGTGTCTACGGGAGCAACTGAAGGAGTTGCACCCGACGTGGTATCGGTGACACCAATCAGGAGGAGCGGGTGGTTGTTGTTGTTGCTTTCCTCCAAAAGCGGTCCGAAGTTCTCCCAACGGCACTGTGCAGGTTGCCGCATGCACACACACATCTGGTCTCGTGTGAGCACGGCGTTCACGGTGTACTGTCACCTTGGGGTGTGGGGACCGTTCTCTTTGTTCGTTGTTTGTGTCCACTCCTACACACACAGACACACAGTCTCTCTATTTTTCTCTTTATTTATTTATTTATTTTTTTTAGTTATTTTAGTTTTTAGCGAGAGGTGGAAGCGAAGAAACACGAAGGAAATAACAGGCAAAACAACCCGAAGAAAAAAAAAAAAAAGGAGCAACGAAACAAAATTAATAGGAAAACCTTCTAACGCGTCGGTACCCTTTTCATGTCGGAGGATCTTGCGTACAAAATCATAGTGATTGGCAATGTTGGTGTGGGGAAAAGCAACGTGTCGTCGCGGTACTGTGACGGGACATTTTACGAGGACATTGTTCCAACCATCGGCATGGACTTCAAGTACTGCCATAGCACAACACTAGAGAAAAAACCACGCACCGTGCGGCTTCAGATTTGGGACACATCCGGTCAAGATCGTTTTGTCACTCTGACAACGGCGTTTTATCGAAACTGCAACGGTGTAATGCTTTGCTTCGACATCACAAATCGTGTCTCCTTTGAGGATGTGGATGAGTGGTACGATCGCCTGAGGACAAATTGCCCCAATATGCCACCCGTCATATTAGTGGGATGCAAATTGGATCTTGTTCAAAGAGAGGATGTCAATGATATCGGCATCTCGTTAGGGAGCCAACGGCAAGTGGAGAAGAGTGAGGCCGACGCGTGGGCGAGGAGCCACAACTGTCTGTGTTACTTGGAAACGAGCGCTAAGGAGAATAGAAACATCTCAGAGGCGTTTCAGCAGCTAGCAACATACGTGGCGCAGAGCACGACCCCACCACTGGAAGGGGGTCGCAGTGGAATCAACGGACGTCATGGAAGACCGATAAATCGTGAGATCGAGGGGAAAAAAGGCTGCTGCACCGCCTTCTGACGCCGTTGCAAAAACTACGGGGAGGAAAGAGAAGGGAAAGGCAAAGGGAAGGAAAAAAAAAAAAAAAAGAAGCAACACCAACTTGATAATACCGAAGGGCAAAAAAGAAAAAAAGAAAAGAAAGGAGGTTTGGAGAAGTCATGGGTTTTTTTTATTTTTTTACTGGAGTTTCTTTATTGTTGCTGTTGTTTTTGATTTTTGATTCTCTTCAAAGGGTTTCTGGAGGGAAATGTGCGGCCCGGTGTGTGTGTGTGTGTCGGGGGAGAAAGGGGGCGCAGTGGAGGATGGTGCGTTTTGTTGAAATCTCTTGTTTTCTGTATTCATCAATTCATTGTTTTGACTACAAATTTGCCGCATTGGGGCAGGCGGGTGGTGGTGGTGAATTTTTTTCTCTGTTTTGTTTTGTTTTGTTTTGTTGCTTGTTTGTCCTGTTAATTCAGTACCCCCCCCCCCCCCCCTCACCACACGCCCCCGCTACAAAAACACAAGACCAAGCCACCCCTTCACGCGGAGAGAGAGGACTCCGGCGGTTGCTGGGCTCTTTAAAAAAAAAAAAAAGAAAAAAAAAGACTGCCGCCACCTTGTGAGTTCACAAAGAGGGGGCTTGAATTGTCACGGCACAAGCCCTGATGTATCTATTGTTTTGAACGGTGCGTGGATGCGGGATAAATTCCACTGTCCGGTCTGTGTGTGTATGTGTTTGTTGGTGGTAGGGGGGGGGGGGGGGGAGTTGTTGGGTAAAATTCAATTTCCCCTTCTCCCCGGCTGCCTCTTTATTTTGCGTTTGTGGGAATATGAAAAAAGGGGGG